GGATACCATAGACAGAGAACTCTTGCTCTTCCTGCTAAACTCCTCCAGCTCCCTGCAACATGATGTGCCTGTCTATCTGCCCGTAAAGAGTCCAAACATTGCCTACCGCTTTGTCAGCATACCCGTTTCTCCAAACAGTGCTCTGTGTGTGCTCTGTGGTGCGGAGAATGCATCTTTCAGGGAGCTGCACATGCACGCCATGAATGCTTTGCGAAACGAGGCCACTGTGTTGGCAGCCGCCGAGCGCTGCGTGCCCCGCAGTCTACCCGAGCATCTCGATATTGATGGCAATGTGTTGGCCATTATCCTTATCAATAGGCAATCCCGCAAAAGCCTCTTCACCCGTAATCTGCACCAGTCGGGCAGTGCCAAGCGCATTATCGTTGGCGATCTGCAGCGCTTGGACATGCTCAAGAAATTCTTTGACCAAACAATGGAGACAATCCAGCAGTTCGAGGCTAAATCTTCGTCCAACAAAACTGTGCTGATGGACCAGTACAGCTGCTCGGACTATCACAAGTGTTATGCCTATGCGGATGAGCAAAGCAATGTAATTTGCCTATTATTTGTGGCTGCTGTGCCCACGCATGCAATGAGGTAGGTAGCAATCGGTCTATGATCCGTGTGTGACAACTAATGAAATCCGTTCTTTATTGAAGATTCCTTGCACAGCGCGTCCATGCAAGCATTCTGCACGAAAAGTCTGTATGCTGGTAAATATTCATACTTATATTCTAAATCTTACAAGACTGATATTTTGGTACAACTATACACTAGTTTATAAATTCAATTAATCCATCTTTCCTTTCTCTTCTATGACTTTTTTTCTCTCTATAATATAACAATATTGTGTGGCTGGGAGTACACCCGTCGTTTGTCTCGTAACTGAAGAGGTTTCTTGTTTGAATCCAGGTATAATTCTAGCCTCGATCCCACACGAACTGCAGCTGCAATGTCTGAGTGTAGAAGAATATGGAACGATGAATCTACACAGTTTGTCCCTGGGGCTGGTTCTACTTGGGCCAAATGAACGCCAAACTCTGTAGAGACATCTAGCACGTAAACAGTGTGGCTGGCCTTTGTGTTTCTTAGATGGCGCTGATCCATGCGAACTCGCTTCATCGTTGTCCTGAACTCCTCTACGTAGCCTCCTTTAACGCATCGCGGCATGCGGTATGGAGTAGAAGCCTTCTTGCAGCTGAGAGGCAAGTATTGACTTTGTGTTTGTGTTGGCACTAGTTGAGTTACAGGCTGGGTTTGTCCCCGCACCAGTTGAGTCACTGGCGATGCATCAATGTAGCTGTCATCGGATGAGTCGATAAGGCTCGAATCATTCAATGAATGGCCGCTTAATTCGCTCCAAAGTTCCGCTATCTTTCGAGATGAAGATAGTTTAGTCGGGGTTTCGTTGGCCCCTTGTGCGATTGCAGGTCTGGTGGAGCTGTTGGTCAAACCCACTGCCAAACCTTTAAACTTACGCGGCGTTTCCTGGCTAATGTCCAATAACTGCGAACATGTCGACTGCCTGGTGTCCCAATGCGATGGTCTCGGACTGCTGCTTGTCTCCATGGAATGTTGTAGCTTTTGCCAGGCGCAATCGAACTTGGAAGGAGTACTTTTACGCTGTAAGGACTCCACCAATGGTGATTTGGCCTGACACTGTTGCTTGGCAGCGCTTGGCCTAGCGTCTGCAGACGCATTTTCCTGTTGCTCGTTGCGAAAGCTGGCCCATAGCGAGCTGAATTTACGTTTGTTGAACATTGGGAATAGTGCAATCTTGCTTTGTTTTTATTTCAATATTTTTTTGGGGTTTTATGTTACCGCTCTACCCTTGTGTAGAGGGGGATTATTTGGCCGCCCGCCTTTACAAGGTGGAAATCGGCACGACTAGAATCGTAACTTATTACAGTTTTGCATCAATATTGTTGATGAACTCGATTAATGTTTTGTATGAGCTGATTTGTTCTTTTTCAAAGAATTAATAGATATATTTTTTTAGCGATGGGTAGTCCAGTCCTGTGATTTACTTGGTACAATTAAAAATTAGATGAGATGCGCTATCGATAGTATCGCAAGTATCACAAATGTTACTTGCTGCTACGTGCATTTTGGCAAGTGTGCCGATAAGCAGTCTGTTGATCCTCTTAGCCGCTAACCAAATAATATAATATATATACATTATACCATTTGGTTAGTGTCTTAGCGTCAATGCAGTATGGGGCATTTGACCCCTTTTTCTGGCCGAAACTCATTTTTCATAAGTCGATAAAATGATATTGTCTAAACCGATATACATCAGAATAACACCATTCTTTAATATTAACAAAAAAAGAAACAGTGCGCATCACTGTTAAATCAGTTGGTAAATTCAGCTGTTTGATATGAATAATAAAAAATTATCGGAACAAGAATTTGTTTCATCAAGTTAAAATTGCCATAAAGTGGTATATTGATCAATTTAAGAGCATTTTGTACAATATTCTTAATTCAGACAGGCGTTTGAAATGTGTTTGTGAGTTTGAAAATAAAAAAACGGATCTCATAATATGCTTAATGGATAGTTTTTCAACAAGTCTATATATGTGATGAAAGCCCACGGAAGCATTAAACCTAATGGATCAATCCTTGATCAAATGTATGTCCTTTTGTTTTCGTAATTGAACCTAAGGTTTGAAAATTCGGAGTCTTTTGCACGGTGAAACTCAATGACCAATTAAATTACAAAAGAGGATGCCAATTTGCATTGCATTTAAGCATTAATACCTGACACTAGTTTTAAGAACGAAAAGGTAGTTTGTTTTTGTATTAAAGTGAACAATTTCCCGAAAAACTTGAAAGAAATTAAAAAAAAAACATTTATAATAATGTAAAGAGATTTTCAGTATCTCTGTGTTCAACATTTCGACAACTCAAGGAAAAGAAATTGCTTGCAGTATACGAAGAAGCCAATGTAAAAATCCGATTCTAGTTTTCAATTTGTAAAAATCCGGGCAAGGCTTTTTTTTAATATAATATGGCATTGCTTTACATATTTACATAATTTTTTTTTGATTCAATTTAACAATAAAATACAAATTCGATTTTACACTTAAGAAAAGGCTCTGGCACTCCTATTATTTCAACACACCTTCCATTCACTATTATAAACTAATATAAAAAAACAAATAAAAAAATATTGTTTCGTTTGGAAGTTATTAATTATTACCACAAAGAGTGGTCAAATGCCCCATAGTGCAATGGTTTCAGCTTATTTATATTTAGGAACCATGGTTTTGATGAGGTTAAGGGAAAAAGTAAGCAGTATCCTCTGCGTTTAACGCTGTCTAACTCGGCATACTCTCTCTCCCACTCTTCTTTTAATATTCGGTGTATCTCACATATTGCATCTTTAAGGGGTTACATTTAACGACTGTATATTTTCCCAGTCTGTGTGCTTATTTGACTGCTGCGTCTACTGCCGTGTTCTGAGGGATGATGGCATGGCCGGGTTTATACCTTTAGGTATTGGGCTTGACGGATCTACTCTAACTTTAATTTGTCATTTGACAACTTGTTGCTGACCAACCAATAGTATGGCCACTTACATATGTATGTTCCCTATCTGCTATACTATATATTAAAATTCCATTTTACCAGATACTTTTAAATATTAACAATGCCTTTGTTTTAGAATGACATGCTCTTAACCTTTTCATATGTTTTCTATGTATATACATACATACATATGTATTTTGTATGTATGTACATATATACCGATCTAAAAACATTCTCGGTATAAATAATCTGGAAAATTCGTTGAGATGGCTTACCAACACAGATTGATTTGCTTTTGCATTGATTGGTACAGAGATTTTAAAATGTTCCTAAATTCGAGGATATCAATCCATCCCAGGGTACCAAATGTTGCTTACTCCGTGCCAAATGTTGGGGAACAATGCTGCTCACTTTTTGCTGCATGTGGCTGGCCCATAAAAATTATGTTGCGTTATGTAAAATATGTAAGTGAGGATGGCATTCAACGTAAGTGGAGATGGAATACAGAGTCTTTGTTGCGATGAAAACTCCCATGTTGCGAGAGAGATATATCCCTCAAGAGAGGTCCTCATGGGACATTTGGAAAACATGCGTATGGGAGATTCCATACAATAAATTCTTGAATATACCTTAAAAAATGGAGTATAATAGAAGCCTGAAATTCATTATATAATGGTATATTTAATTGTATACACCGATATATCGTAAATATACAATGAATATCCTCAAAAGTATATAATATACCGTAAATGTGGACCAGTGTGGTCTTGTCTCGATAGGACTAGTGTGCATTAACAGTACCTAACAGAACTGTACAGAACTATATTGACAAATCGAATTTATTAAGGCCAAATCAAAGTATATTTGAAAAAACTACTTACAACTTATCGAAGGTCGGTCTTTCATTCAAAAACGACAACAAACGAGAAGGGACGTGTGAGACTCGTCACAACTTTTATACCTGGCACTCAGTACTACATCTGCACCTTAGCGGTGTTTTGTAAAATTGTACATTTTTTCTTCGTCTGTCACCTACATCTACAACACTTGTCACACCAACACGCTCCTTAAGCTCGCCGCCCATCCGGAGACCCACACACTGCAGACTCGCGGCAGAGGCAGAGGCCGCACACTGCGCGAGGCAGAGTGTGAATGAGAGCATTTGTAAAAAACAAATATAATCTGCGGGACGGGGTGGGTTTAGCCACTGCAAATAAACTTCTTCATTGTGGCTATAATAATGATCCGATCGGATCCCAATTTGGTGATCTGATAGACGGACGGACAGACAGACATGGCTCAAACGACTCGGCTATTGATACTGATCAAGAATATATATACTTACTTTATGGAGTCGGAAACGTTTTCTTCGCGTTACATACTTTGTGCAAAAATACAATATACCCTATTTACTGTTCGAGTACCGGGTATAAAAAAAGAAAATAAATTCCAGGTTTACTTCTGGTATGAATGGCATATTTATTGAATGAATTAATGGGATATCTTTTAACCGCATTGTGTTACCATTTGTCAGATAGTCGATACGGCGTTCTTACAGAACGTCGTTTGCGTTTGCCGACTATCGCCGGTCCCAATCCGGACACAGTGCCCAGTTGCAGCAGCAGCGGATTACTTACCAATGCGGCCGCAATGCCCAGGACAGCCGCACTTGCCAGCGGTATTAGGAAACTCTTGGCCAGCAGGGCTTTCGACGAGATATCGCTGTGCCCGTGGCCCTTGTGCGTGGCTATCTCAAGCGACTCCACAGGGTAGTGATAGGCATATTCCGGGCCAGCAGGCGCGTAATAATGGGCATGGCCAAGGGCAGCGCCATGACGCGTTCCATAGACATCGAATGGTATGCCAGCAGTTTCGCCACTTGAGCTGCCATAATAGGGTGAAGCTCCAGCTCCAGTTCCAGCCCCAACAGTTCCCCCATGGCTGCTGTGTGTGTTGTACTTATAGGGATATGGAGAATGGCTATGGGTGTTGCTCTCAAAGCTAACGTGGTTTTGTCCATGAGATGCTAATCCGCCTCCATAGTGTCCTATTGGGTATGCGAATAGATCCATATGCACACATTTAAGAAGTTTTCGAACTAACCCACAATAATGCGCTCCTGAGCACCAGATCCAGCCCCATGACGCCACTTGCCGTAGGCCTCGTTTAGGCTCTCACCCAGCCTGCCCAACGAGGGGTGTAGCCCTGAAGCAGCTTGTGACTCTGAGGAGTGGCCGCCACCGCCTCTGTAGAGCACTTCCGGGGGATCGAAACTTTTGCCTGATGCCGAGCTGTCCGAATCGATGTTGCTGGCTGAATACTCGATGGACTTTTCAGCCAGTGCCATTGAGAGGAGATTCAGCCACAGGCCCAACGCTGCCTGAACCTTCCGTTTGGTGGTCCACATTATGACTAAGCTCGCCCGGCAGCGATGTCATCGACTTTATAATAATGCTTTTGGGGGATTGTGGACTGTGGGATTACTTAGTGCCACAGGCAGTGGAGTGGCGACAAATTGTGCCGTGGGCTCTGTGCTGTGGCAATTTTTTGCATCGTTGCGCCAATCAGTCTCGCTAGACCGTGTGGTGGAATTTCACTTTTTTTCTTGCGTTTCTTAAGCGGTTTCATCAGTGTGTGCTTGAAGCTTGGTTAATGCAATGATAAATATGTATGTATGTTCATTTGTTAATGTGAAAGAGTAGATCTGGTGATCTGTCTAAAGCGAGAAACTACTCGAACCACCCAGGGGAAAATGATTGCAGCGTAGTTAAGAATCGTTAAGAAATTATCACTGTGCGTTCCTGTCGGTTTCATTCGACTCCATAAACAAGACCAATTCCATTCGAAGTTTGTCCAAATTTAAACGAAGATCCAAAACAGTGAGCGCGTCCGCTGCTTGTCTGATATTTCCGGCAGATAGGAGTAGTCTCTACGATCAAACATTTAGCAAATATCTGAAATTTCCTGCCGGGTGGGGAGTCTACCAAGAACGTGTCAGCACCTTATCAGCTTATTGAGAATTGCGCTAATATTTCGCGGAATTGCTATCACACAAACAGCACGAGAAGGGACGTGTGAGACGCTTCTTACGCGTCACAACTTTTATACCCGGCACTCAGGACTACATCTAGATGTAGAAGACATCGCCAACCACTAGATATCGTTCACATTACAGAACAAGTAGTAAAAGCCTACTAAATAAAATGCATCAAACAAATTGGATCAGTTAATATTTTCCAATTTATGAGATATTTAAAACAGCAATAAAATTGGTACATTCTTGGACCGATAGGTTTCACAGCAAATTTTTCGAAAGTGGCGCCATCTATGAAAATTTCTTGTGCGCAACTTTGATGGTCCAATGGTCTGCACATTCTGTGCAAGGGTGCGCCACAAGGGGTTTTCGCCCTTTTGCGGGGGCGGAAGGGGGCGTGGCTCATTTTTGAAATACACTGGTTTTAGTGTGAGCATACAGCAGTCCGGAGCCAAAATTTGGTGGCTCTAGCTCTTATAGTCTCTGAGAACTAGTCGACAAACAAGACGGACAGACGGACAGACAGACAGACAGACATGGCTCTATCGACTCGGCTATTGATGCTGATCAAGAATATTATACTTTATTTTATAACGCTTCCTTCTGTGCGTTACATACAACCGTTACTCGCACAAATACAATATACCCTATTTACTCTTTGAGTACCGGGTATAAAAAGTAACATTGAAAAGAAATAGAAACATTTCCCCAGACTTATCATTGCGGGCCCTGACGCCAAAGCGCTACTGGAACTTTTGCAGTTCATTTCGGTTATCTTAAGCCTGTTGTTCATGAAACGAAATCCAACTGATCAAAGCACTGCAGCTGGCACCCGGTGGGGCCACCCATGGGGCACTTAAGCATTCAATAAATTTTTGTTTTGTTTATTTCCTTAGTGTGTTGTTTACTAACAAAACCATGGCCTGCAGGCACTATTCATAGGATTCGGTGCATTTGGTGGCGAATGGCAGCAGCAATAGGTGACGTACTTGCATGGCACACAACATTTCAGGGGCTTCAGGATTGGGCGCTCTTTAACCGACGATGTGGCATCTTTATTCGTAGGATTCTCCTTCACCAACGACGGCGACACTGGCCGGTTGGCAGCTTTCTTCTTTGGATTCTCTTTGGGCGGTGTTCTTTGGTTTGGCTCTTTGGGCTTTCTTTTCTTGGCTTTCTTCATCAGTTTGTTGCTTTGGGAGTTGCAATTGGAAATGCGATTGCCTGCGCCTGGCTTGGCCACGGCAGAACCTTTCCTGCTGGCCAAAGATGGAGCACGGGAGACACGGGGGGAACTCTGCTTTTGTACCGCAGCATTGCTTGAAGCTCGTGCACTGTGGATGGCGGCAGAGGGTGGATCCTGCCGCCCCGCAGCACTGGCCGTAGACTTGCCACTTTCTATGGATTCACGGGGGGAATCCTTACGCTCTGCTGCACTGGCTGTAGATTGGCCGTTCTTGATGGATTCACCGAAGAAATCCTTGTGTTCAGCACCATTACCTGCAGGTTCCTTAGGCTCCGCTGCAGGGGGAGAACTCTGCTGTTCCACAGCATAGGCCAGTGGTACCGCACTATGGATGGATTCATGAGACGAGTTCTTCCGTTCTGTGGCGCTGAGTGAGCCATGGGGAGAAGTCTTCTGGTCTGTCTGCTGGCGAGAACACTGACTTTTTGAAACACTGGCTGAAGATTGTGCACTCTGATTACTGTACCGAGGAGTGCATTTTCGTTCTGAGCCACTGGCTGAGGCACAACTCTTCCCTTGCGCAGCACTGGCTGAATATGTTGTGCTTTGGATTGAGGCACGTAGCGTACGATTGCTTTTCCTTTCCTTGGAACTATCAACCGAAGATCGTGCCGAGTGTTTGGGATCTAGGTTGACTGCAGCCACGTCGTCTGGTATGACTTTCGTTAGCGTACTGGTAGATCGTTGCTTGTTCCCAAGTTGCGAATCTGACACGTCCAACCGCTGGCCTATAGATCTCAAAGTGTGCGCAGAATCTTTACCTGGGCTACTGGGAGCCGGGAAACTGTTGTTTTTCGTGTTGATTCGAATTGGATGAGCAGTCTCGTCCAGCCCTTGGTCGATGTTCTCCGTGTTAATGCTCGGCTGGGTGTTTACCCAGGGTGTTGATATAATGGGTCTCTCGAACGTGGCCGTTGTCTCCTGTGTCTGTTCCATAAAGTAGCTCGAATCTTGGGTTTCCCAGTTGCTGGCGCATCGAACTTTTCCCGCATTGGGGGGCATCTTGCTCGCAGCCTCCACGGCCGCTGTGGCGCAGGCAACCATTGCCCGACCCAGCGACTCACAGATCGTCTTGATGAACTCTAGATCCGGCGCTGCTGGACATTCCTGAGCATATGTGTTGGTGCTCTGATCCTTGCGGTGGGTATTTTCGGGTTTCTGTTGCACTTGATTTTCATTGACGGTATTTTCTTGGCTTGTAAGACCAACACTCTGCTCGCTTGGGTCATCTTTGAGTGCCTGTTCTTCGCTCGTGTGTGACATTGTCTCCTCTGTCTCCTCCTCCTCCTCCTCCTGTGGATTCGGTGCTCTCTCACATTGACAAATGACCTGCTGGAACGTACATTTCCGTGGTATATTTTCCATTGGATATTTAAACTCCTGTTCCGCCTGTGAGTCAGAATCGTTACAGCGGTACTGACCGCAACAGGGCGCTGGGCCGCGTACATCACTGAACTGATTGCATGGACACAGCTTCGCTGATTGCTGGCCATAAATGGGATCCTCTGGGCAGAGAAGATACTCCACTTTGTAGCACACCTGGCGGCGTCTCTTTTGGCAACTGGATCGACTTCCTTCTCTTCTCGGGGGCATAGGCATATCCTGCGTTGAACACTCACAACAACAGCAATGTATGGGTTGCTCCCTGCTGCTGGATTGCCTGTCTGACAATATCCTCGATGAATGATTTGGACTACTGGGACGCGGTTGTTGCCTCACAGGCAACTGTTGATATTGCTGCTGGGGCATGGTACACAGGGGAATAGCACACACGGATATGGGCATACATTGTGTCGGTCCTTTGGCCCACGGTGGTCCTGGTGACTGCACCAGACGTATTACGATGGTGTGCTGACCTTGGCCATCGTCTGACTGCACCACCAACGGCGTGCCCCTCTCCATTTCCAGAAATAGTTTACTTCAAATTTGAATACATGTTTTGGCCACAACAAACACTAAATGGATGTGACATTAACTTCCCTGGCATTTTTGGCCTGTGGATTTCTAGGGAATATAATTGAGAAAGATATTCAATGATCCTTACCGGGGAGTACAGCAGATGCGAGTGTCTACCCAATAAGTATACCCTAGTTGAGATAGACTCCTGTAGATACTGTGAAATAAAGCAGCAAATATCGGATAATCAATATACAGTACTTTCTGTTTTCTTTGATAGAAGGAGATCTCAGCAGCACCACCTCACACGGTTTGGGCATTAAAAACCACAAATGTGTAGAAATATAGCCAATGGACCTATTGGTCGGTACAAACGATATATATATTGGACGTTAATATGCAATGACTGCACCATCAAGTGGCCCATGCGACACCAAGCCAAAGCCTGTTACGCGCGGAACCCAGCAGAACGGAGCACTCCTCCCGCCCCACCGAACGTGTAAGGTTCGTGTAAGGCATATTTCGATCTACAAAGTGGAAGGAACAGAGGAATAACGTTTCTAGTGGGTCTAATGGGAATCGTAAAGTTTATGCGACTCAACAAGACTGACTTGTTGATATACATATATGTACGTACATATGTATGTATGATCAAAGTGATCGATAGATCTATTAACGTTAATTATATTCATAATAATGACACTTTTATTTACCAAAATATTTAAAGTGCTTAAGTTCTTTAAGCTAACTAAATTCCATCAATGCTGGATCCTAACGGACCTTGCCAAGCACCCCAAAATTGTACATACAGGTATGTACATATACATATCTCCTGATAGAGAAGACCGGGACCTGGTAGCGTACCACATCCGAGATTCAAATGTTGTGAGCGAGCGCGTACACTGTCTGATTAGTTTTCAATGATTCCATTATGCCGTACATACACCCAAAATAGAAATTATCAAGGAGCGGGCCCGCTCAGATAATATACCCACGGTATCAGGTGTCGAGGCTCGAGTATAAAATGTAGAGCATTCCCAGTTCCAACTCACATTCGTACGAGTATCATTCAACATGAAAGCCGGTAGGTGATTTGTTTTGTGGATATTTAGTATAGTTCATGCTGAACTCAATGCAAAACCAATTGAATACTGATTGCAATTTCTTCATCCTGCTGCTCCAGTATTCCTTCTCCTGGCCCTGGTTGTGGCTGTCTCCTATGCAGCCAGCGACTGCAATCCTGATGGCAATGGAAAACCCGACTGCACTGGAAATGTTGGGAAGAAATTCCGCAACTTCTGGGACCCCACCCGCTACTGGCTCTGCGCAACCGCTGGTGAGCCCACTGTTGTGCTGTGCGAGGAGGAAGGAGGACTGGGTACTGGATACGATCCCGTGACCCAGAACTGCGTTGACTGGTCGGTCTGGGAGTGGTATGCGCCCTGCCCTTAAACATCACTGAAAACTAAAATAAAAGTGTGGATAGCAAACTGTACAGCGTTTATGGAATTTTGAACTTTAAAAGAATTTGAAACTATTTGAGGAGTATTACATTTTTACATTACACATGCTGATTGTACATCGGCTGCTTTGTTCTTTCGACTTTTTGACAAGCCCCTTAGCGCCACTCTTAAACTTTTTGATGACTGGATGTTACTCTACATTATGTACAGATCGCATCATTTTGCATAATGATTTAATAATAATTATTAAGTCAAGATTACGACAAATATTTCCCCCGTTTTTCATTGAGATTTTGACTTTGTTGCGCTGTGTTGGTATGCGACAATATCTGTTCTTTAATTTTAGAAAAGTTGAGCCAAGAACATCTATTAAATGAGATAGTAAGAGTATACCTATACAGTTTGGCTTCACACCTATTCTGGAAAACAATCAGAGTTTGACAGTTGAGATCACACGATAGATTATGACAACATTTTTATAGTAATATGTTGCGATTATTGGTTAAAAGAAGTCCATAAAGTATTTGACTTTGAGAACATGTAGGTCATTGCCTGACAGGCTAAAGACCTTGTTGATATAGCTGGTCATAGCTATTAATAAATAAAATAATAATAGGAAACGTGTACGTTGAGTGCCTTTATGTGTATTTTTTGTGTTTGTTTTGTTTTTTGATCTGTCTAACTTCTAATTCCTAGATGGATAATGAATGCCAAAACAAAGACCAGACACTTTCTTGTTTATATTACATCAGAATAAATGGCGGATACCATTGCCAGACTCAGTAAGTGGGTGGGAGCCAAGTTGTCGCGGCTCGCAAGTCCCATGACTCTGCTTGGGCAGATACATACACATATTATATATTGGCAGTAACATGCAACATCTCTCCAGAAGTTGTTCTATCAACCCTGCGCACTCTTCCTATATCTACCGATGGCGTCAACAGAACTTTTGAAGGCACGAGCCGACACTAAAGGCTCAGAAGTTATCGCTGGTGATACATGGCACGATTATTATCAAGCGATTTCATGTTACTCCCAAAATATAATTTATCCAGACAAGAAAGCGGATGGCCTGAGTCCGGGCCGGATAGCTAATGAAATGGAAGTCCCGACAATAGAGGAAGGCGTATCATTGGGCACGAACATACAGAAGAGAAGTTAAAACAAAATGAAAGCCGGTAAGACGAAGTCTAATCAATCAACTAATCAGTAACTTGCCTTCAATGCGCTGGGATCCCACCCACTGGCAAAGCCGTGCTCGCCAGGTGCCAGCAGCAGTGATTCGATCCCAAGACTGGTGGCTGGTCCATGCCGCTAAGCACCTTAGGCAAATACAATTCTGATGGAATATAAACTATATATTATTTGGCTATTGTTTTGGCATCCATTATCCATCTAGACATCATCGCAGTGACACAAATTTTCGTTAAATTTTTGTTTTCCTTACGTTTTTTCGTGAGTGTGAATTTTTGAAATGGGAAGACTTGGCACCGAACTCCCTGTGGCGCCTTGGCATCGAGGCTTGTCGCTGTCCCAGATCAAAGCGGCCTGCGATCTGCAGACTGCACTGAGCCTCGACCTAGAGGAGGAGACGACGCATCGGGTGAACGATTGCTTGATGCGCCTGGGACTTTGTGGCCAGTTCGATTTTTGCCCCTTGCTCAAGACAATGCAGCTCAGTCGGGGCAACAATTTGGCCTTTCTGTATTTTTTATATACGATGCAGTACGAATCGGAGTATGCGCACAAGAAGTACACACTCAATGAACAGATCATACTGTCGGCCATTGCGTACTTGGATATGCCAGCCACTATTGAGGCCTTGGACAAAATACTGCCCATGGCCAAGAAGCGTATGAAAACGCAGCCTGCAAAGCCGCATCCGAGCGAAAGAAGTGGCAAAGTTGACGCCACACAGGATGCCAAAATGCTACCATACTTTGAAAAGCAGCACAAACCCAAGCTGAGGCATAGGCATTTACAATCAGCACCTGCTCATTTCGCGGTGAGCATTCCCAACGAATTCAAGGAGTCGCATCAGCCGGAAAACCGCTGGTTTGCCGACTACGGATTCCAGCCAGCCAAGCGTATTGTCAAATCTGTAATCAGCGAAGAGATTGTCAAACTCTTCGACAGAATAGACGAGTTCCAGAGAGTTCCCGAGACGGAGCCCATGGAAATGTGTGCCTTTCATCAGAAGAGTCGTTCGCTGGAGCGTGCAGCGTATCTGGAAAAGCAGCGCCAGCAATGCCTATCCATGATTGACTTGGATGAAGAGCGAAACTTGGTGAGGGGAAGAGCTGCTGTACATATCTATCCTTATATCCTATTTCCTTGCTCAATCCACAGCTAACGAGGCGACGAATTGCCAAACAAATGCAGCTCGATGTGCAGAAATATATGCAAAAGTTTGATGATCATTGCTGGAGTCGGGGAGTGCCGGCATTTCGGCAAATCGGATGCACTGCCTGCCGTCTGCTGGGTCCCACACCTCTGCCTGTGATGGTAATGGACGGTGTGGGCGAAGGCCAACATCATTGGTCGAAGATGTCAGCAGACGGCAGCAGCGAGCAAGTGCTGCGGCTCGGTGGCGGACAGGAATCGAGGCCACCTACTCCAAGCCTCAACTATTTCCAAGGGCCCAAGCTGCATGCTCCCTACATATTCGATTATATTCGACTGTTTGGCCGTTACAGCCAGATGTCTTTGTCTGCTGGCGAGTGCATTGATGGCGCTGTGCTAAAAGCCCTTGACGCTGTTGATGACAGGGAAAAACAGAGGCCCGTCATGGTGACACGATGGCATATAAGCGATGCCGTCCATCAGTGTGTGAGGAGAATCTATGAAAAGAGTCTGATGGCTGTCAAGCACTGTGAGAATCCAAAGGAGCGTCTCAGCTATGGGGAGAAGAAACACTTTGATCCCGACGATCAGGTTTTCATGGATCGCATGCTTGTGGATGCCTTCAAGGCGCTGCAAAAGAACAAGAAGCTCGTGCTGCCTACCCTGTGCCATGGTCACCAGGTTCCAGAGTTGCGCGAATGGATTAGGCGTCGCTACGGCAAGCGGTATACGGCGGCTACGCCTTCCGATCTGCGCCAATCGGGACTCACAATGATGCCCCTGAAGAAAATGCACCACGAGCTGTACACCATTTTAATGGGGCAGCACCAGGATTCCAAACAGCAGAGCAGCATTAGCTGTGCGCGCTGTGACCTATTCCTGGCCAGAGCCCAGAAGTTTCGGCTTTGCTTCAAGGAACGGGTCAACGAGATTGTCATGGAACGAACGCGCCTCTGCTGGCAGGCCATGAACTATCTACGAACCAAAAACTACACCAACCTGCAGCAGACCTTCTTCTCGTATCTGCCGGGAAGTGCCTTTGAGACGGTTCCCATTTTCACGAATACCAAAAACGTGAATGGAAAATGAGGCAGATCACTCGGCAATAGAATTTCGTTTGAATTTATGGACAGTACAGTGGATCAAGTGGAAGCTATTTCCCGCTTGGTATGGAATTGTTTATTAATTACGTCAAATACTTCACAAATAGCAGAGAAAAATTTATGAGAAAATCGTTGAATTTATGAACAATCGAATGGAAATGTACGAAACTTTGCATTGGATTGCTCGTGAATTGTGCGAAAATTCTCTTTTAAAAAAAATATTTCAAATATTTGACAATAATAGCAGGGCTCATTGGAAAACTGCTATTTCTGTTAATTGAATATTAATTATACAATTTACTTATTGTTTAAAAAAACAGATTGTAAATATAAAGAGAAAGAACAAAAAAATAAAAATATTTGACTTGACGAAAATTCCATAACTCTTTGTATAACTTTTTTTAGCTTCTGATAAATTTGCTTCTCATGCAATTACGGAATTTACAATTACATTACCATTAAGCTATTAAGGACTAAGTTAGGCTTTCAAAAATATTAAGAACATATATTAAGAATATTAACATAAAATACCAGTAAATGGCAATTGAACGGCTGTGAAGATGACACAAAAAAGCTAAGCTATATTTATAATATTAAAAGTATATAGAAATCCTTGAAAAAACTGGTGAACGGCTTTGTCTTGTGCCAGCCGTTCGTTTATGTGTTCCATCCTTGTCTAGGGGAGTGCTAACTTGCTCTCCTTCCAAACAACACGATAATGCTCGACGGGCAACGCGCTTATATACGTCCGTATCTGCGAAAAAATACTTGGGAATTCTAAGCGCATGTGCAATGCTTCTGTCAGAACGTTAGCTGCCGGCCCCTATTAGATTGTGGCGAGAAGGGAAAAGGTGATTGGGAATTAATTAAATTATATATTATAAACTCAACTATTTGTAAGTCATTTTGTATTAATTATAATTATTTCTCTTTTCTTTTTGATACTAACATTGACACTGAAATTAATTGTTTTGCTCAACTTCCCGTTTTGGGGACCTGCAGCGTGTCATGGCCGACCGACCTACCTCATACAATTGCCATCGACAATTAACCATTAAGCATATGACCACGTCTTAACGCCCAAAAATTAATCAACCCAACCACGTAGCTTTAAGTCCAGCATATAAATACGCAGCATTTCCAGCACTAATTCATCAATCAATGAAAAGTTGTTCGACAGTTTGGTTGTCTACTAAATCCAAATCGAAATATTTGCAAGAATTTTACCATGTGCTGCCACGCCAAGAATGTCTGCTCCTTGCTGGTGCTGATGCTGGCTCTGGGATTGATTGGAGCTCAGCCGGCAAGGTCCGGCAAACGGCTGGCAAAGCAACAGGCAGCGGCGCCCTACCCATCCGCCGAAGAGCTCAAGCCGGAGATACCTTTCGAAGAGGGTGTTCCCGATCAGACCTATGGCCCCCCAGATCTGACCTATGGTCCGCCACCAACCGACCACGTGGAGCAGCTGCCCAGCGCTGACGAGCCGCAGGACTTTACATCCGATCCGGATGCAGAAGAGGTGCAGCCTGTCAACCAAGCACCAGCGCGGCTAAGTAAGAAGCTCAGACGACAGGGCCAGCCCCAGCTCCAGCCCTTGATTCTGTTCTCCGATAGTTCCTTGAGACTGATTGGCCCACAAACAGTGGCTGTTCGAGTACCTGCGCTGTGGTAGGAATGTGAAAGAAGCCGTGATTTCGTTGGTTTTTATAAACATTACATTAATTATTGTCTTTTGTTACGTTTTGAACAATTAAAGAACATTTTGTGGATACCGAGTATATATTGTATGTATATACAGGAGAGATTTGGGTAACGGAACGGAACCCTTAATGGAGTATATAATAACGATAAAAGTATGTGGTTAAGCTAGAGCTCACGTTCGGTTGCTGCTTCTATTTCTGATCAATTCTTAGCCGTTGCTTTGGAATGATCTGTCACGACCCTAGACCTAGACTACTGGGGGATCAATCCATAGTAAAATCTAAACAATAATTTATTTAACATATACTACGACAAAAAATCACTTTTGGCATTGTGCGGTGCGGTCCTCAAATAAGATCAAGCTCCTCCTTCAACCTAATTATATTAAATCAAGCGAAAAAAATATATAAAATTGTATACTTAAAATGCTAGTTATTGTCTGGTACAAGAATTGTAGCTAGTGGATAACACAGAATTGCAACTAATTCGTGGACAAAGAAATAAATAAAACAAATTTGAGCACCGCCACAGGTCTCGAAGCCCGTTTAAAAAATATGGGGGAGAAACAACCTAATTGTACAAATATTCGTAGAGTCACTCGAGTGAAGTTATCTACGTAAAGCCTTCGTCATTCGTAAATTCGCACATCACTTTCCCTGTTCCGTTCCCTGTCTAGTGAGTTCTGTCGTTTAAAATTTGAGCCAAGCTCGCCCAAGTGCCAAAGACAAAGCCACACAGTCCAAAGATTAGAATGAGAAAGTCCTTCCATAGCATCCAATTGTAGCGGCCATAGCCCACATGATAGTACGTAATAATCTCAATGATTGGCGGCGCAATGAGAGCCAGAGCCGAGCTGCTGACGGCCCCAACCAGCGAAATAATGGAGCCCAAATTGGGAATGCACGTGGCCAAGAGAACTGTGTTTGAGATATAAAAAGAATATAAGAAATGAAAGCAGCGAATAGGGATATACGTACAAGTAAATGTGACCAACACTGTGCGCAGAATAGTCGCAGCCAGGTCCTTGGCCCGCGTAGTGTCAAAATGGCTGCGCACAAACGGCTCGACAATATTCACGGGCACATAAAACTGCAGCGTATACGAGAGGAAGATGGCCACGGCCATGGTAAGCCGTACCAGCTGCGAGAGACTGCAAGATTAAGAGTATAAGTGATGTGTGTGTGTGTGTGTGTGTGCGTGTGTAATAAAGGAATGATGAATGGAAAGTTTTGTCAACTCACCCATCGCCTTGCGGCAGATTAAGTGTAATGCTGCCCTTGACATCTTCGCCGTACTTCAGGTAGCCAAAGAATCCCACAGATGTATACAGACAGGCGACGACTACCATGCCCGTGTTGAGGACGCCCGTGGTGCCGCCAAAGTCATCGGGTGTGCGCATATTGTTCTCAAGCGGCAGCACCACACCGATGCCCTCAAATGCGTAGATAGCGGTGCCAAAGTAGAGAGGCAGCGTGGCCCACGAGGCTATCGGCTTGACCGTGTGCACGTCCGGAAGATCGTGCAGCATGTACGAGAAGGTAATGGCCAATCCGGCCACCGTGAGTATGGCGGCAATGAGCGAAACGGGTGTCAGATACTTGAGATTCCGCACCAGATTCAGCACAATCATGGGCATCAGCATAATCAACAAATAGATGTGCACATCGATCTTGAAGTAGTGGTCCATCACATCCTTAATGTTCAGTGCCACAAACAGAAAGTAGACGCAGCAGAAGCCAATCTGTGTGATGAACAGAAAGGTGGTAACGATCCGCCTGGCCAGTAGAGAGTATCGTCGCAAACCCAACGGTCCCGTCTCAAAACTGCAGTAAGCCACATCCGAAAAATCCAAGGCCGGCTGCTGTAGCCGGCGGCACAGCTCGTGGGAGCAGTTGACCAGCATGTGCATGCAGTGAGTGCAAATGGCGCCCATAATCAGAGTTCCAAAGAGACCCACATAGAGGCCGGCATTCTTGAAGGCGTCCGGCATGGCCAGAATGCCAGTGCCAATGTTTCCCTTCAGCAGATGCACCAGCGTCTCCGAGTTGGATGTGGGATGCTCCAGGGTACGATGCAATGTGGGATTGTAGCTGGCCTTGTCCAGAGCCGCCTGATCATCGTCTCCGGAACCCGAGGCTGCCGCATGCACTGTGGGAGTGAACTCTTTATTCGAACCACTGCAACTTGAGCACGCACTTACCTGCTATGCTGTCCTCGCTGTGCACATTGACGAGCGTGTTGTCGGGCGGTGAGCTGCGGGCCGGGCGAGCTGCCCCCCCCCGGCTACCCTCATAGTCGGATGCATCGCTTTGGAGCAGCAACGGCTGGCGTTCCGTCATATTTTTCTTACGCGCCGCACCCTCCGGAATCGGAATCTATAAGAGACGTACGAATTTACAATGCGTTGATCAATTGAGAGCGACTGTGTACATGTATTCTCTTCGGGCGCATCAAACGTACTGAACCTCTATGCGTTAACGATGCCCGCTTTTCGACTTGAAAAATTTTCCGCTGACTCAGTTTTTCCCACTAGTCCCCGATTTCAATGCGTGTGCATAATAACAAATTTCTGATAGTGCAGACAGACATACAGACAGCAGAAGTGTGTCCAGTCCCAGTCAGTGGAGGGAGTGGAAATTTTCGAGACAGAGGAAGCAGATAGTCAGACAGACAGACGCAGCCTCAGCCTTGGACTTGACTCGACTCCGCTCGACTCGAAGTTCGGCCTGATATAAAAGCATTTAAACTCACTGCAAACCTCCACGTCCATTGCATACTCAAATCAATATCATATTTTCGAGTACAGTGACTCACTTTCCGTATAAGCTGGCAAGCTCGAAAACACAAAAACAAGCTCTACTGGGGCGCGATAAGACCTACATATTATCAAGCTCAAGCCCGGCAACCCATCATAGTACTATGCATCAGAATAGCACAATTATATAATATATATCCAAACAAGTTATCAAATATCCACCCATATTTTTCTCATTGTTGATTCAGCAGAAAATTTGCTGTCACTAAGCGATATTCAATACTTCCGAAGAAGTATAAGCAAGCGCGGTATGATTTTGTAGAGCAAAATAACACGATAGAATGGATATGATTTTTGACTTGTGCGCTCCAAGGTTTAAAACTAAATAACAAGCAACTGCGAAAAGGTTCTAGCAGAGATTTAGATAGTGAATCTAGGTAAAGCTAAGTACTTGTATCTTTGCAGGTCTACAACTTTATCGCTAGACGTTTGGGTGCTGTTTTCTAACATGTCCCTCATAATTAATTTGTTTGTTTGCACCATTAAGAATATCAAACAAAGCTTAAAGCATCTTAAACAGAGGTGGTTTGTTGAATTATCCATCCTCTTATCTTCACCGGACCTGGCACCACCGACACTTGCGCCATTAAACATAAAGCCATTATAAAGATATGTACATGTAATATCGTTGGTTCACTTACGGAAAAGTCACAAAATATAGAGGGAATGCCCAGTAGTTATTGTGGAATTATTGGAACTAAAAGTGTAAGAAATTATAATTAAACCGAATACAAATCAACTAAAAATGTAATAAATAATATAGAATGCATACAAATATATTTTATGAATGTATTTGTGTAAGCATTTTCTACCTGTTGAAGGTTGGTTAATGGTGTCAAGTCCTCCATTGATTTTTCCTTCTTGACACTGACAATGAAAGCGGTGCAGAAGAAGACACGAGACGAGACCCACTGATGCGAAGGTCACAGCGTCGACGCGCAAGTGTACAACTAATATCTGGGTGCAAAATCAAATTAAAATTCAAGCACTCCAAGATTTCATGGGTTTCCCATGTGAGGTGTTAGGTGCAGAGGGGGAATGCGTGTGTCTGCAGTGGTGTATCTCGCGCGATTGTGCCAGCTGTAGGATTTCTGATGTGAATCTGTGAATCAAGCAACAAGAAAGCAACAACAATGATTCACGTTGTCATCCCACTACTTCTTCATTCACAAACAATTCTTTTTGGTAACAGCTTTCAACCGATACAACATCACTCAGGTTAGCGTTTTGTTCTTGTCACCACCACATTTATTTGCATACGTTAAGAATCTGTTTTGAATCAGTTTACATTAATTTTTATACCTGGGTCCGAATCAGATCAGCAGTTGGAGGTGGAGAACTATCGATGGCACTATCGGTACTATCGATGGTTTAAAGTCTCGATAGTGTTCGTTAGTATTACGATAGTTTCAAAAATAAACCACCCAAATGGTCGAAAATCTCCCAAAGCTACCATTTTGAAGATAATGACCACATCTATCAGATCACCGAATTGGGATCTGATAGGATCATTATTAAAGCCAGAATAAAGAAATTAATTTCCAGTGGCTATACCCACCCCGTCCCGCAGCTTTTGTGTTTTTTCCACATTCTCTCATTCCCTCTGCAGTGTGCGGTTCTTGGGGAGGGGGGCGACCTAAAAGAGCGTGTAGCGTGAGAATTTATGTAGATGTATATGTTGATGACGAAAAAAACTCGGGAAAAGTCGCAGTCGAAAAGTGTGGCACAATTTGCCATTCTAGTGTTGCAAAAGCATCGATAGTTTAAACAATCTATTATCGATAGTGTCATCGATTCTTTGTCAGCTCTATTCGTGACGTGTCTGAGCGAATTTAATAAAAAATTCGACATTTTCGTTCAATTCCTGTATAAAAAACAAATAAAGCAACAGCAAGATGGTCGAAATCACCGGTGTCATATCCAAGTTCTACAACGACTATGTGCAAAACACTACAAAGAAACTGAAGCTGGTGGACATCTACTTGTGCTACATTCTGTTGACCGGCATCATCCAGTTTGTTTACTGCTGCCTGGTGGGCACCTTCCCGTTCAACTCTTTCCTGTCTGGCTTTATCAGCACCGTCAGCTGCTTCGTCCTGGGTGTGTGCCTTCGTCTTCAGGCCAATCCGCAGAACAAAGCCGTGTTCGCAGGCATCTCACCGGAACGCGGCTTTGCTGACTTCATCTTTGCCCATGTGATTCTGCATTTGGTGGTGATGAACTTTATCGGTTAAATGGGCGAAAATAACAAAATTTGTACTGCTCCACCATTCGCATATATTAATGTATCGTAAAATAAACCATAACTTTATTTAAAGAGTTTCTTGTAAGCCTCGAGAAAGTTGAATGGCTCCGGCTTGTACTCCAAGCGAAGCACAGGCTCTGGTATAATCATAGTCATGGGCGGTACTAGCTGCACATAGTCCCGAAGTTCCGGCTCTGCTGTCTTCGGTATATTTTCCTTGGAATTTTTGCCCTTTGACGGCTTGCGTCCCATCCTTTGGGGCGGCAGTATCGAATCGTTGACATTAAGAGGAACCAAACCCTTGAACACCGCTTGATCTGGTAGAAAGTTCAGCTTTTGGTTAATCTATAAGAAAGTGGGACCGTTAAACAATGACATTTTTATCTCTTGAAACCACACTCGCCTTTGGAGCCACTGCGGCCTGCGTCTGCGGCGTGAGATTCAAGTCATCAATGGCAATCAGATTATCCTTGGTCATGCGTCTTATTTCTTCCTCAGAGTGCATGGCAGAGTTGAAAACAGGGCTAGCGAAAACATTTTTTGGCTCCACGGGATCTTGGAGCCGCGACACTTGCCGATTTGGAATACCTCGAGATTTGCCTCTTTGCGACATTTTCAAAAGAAGCAAAAGTAATTTCTTTTTCCGCCCCTAACACTGAATTAAAGGTTTTACAGCACTGTTTCTACAACAACATTACAGGTGAATTAAAGTGAATTAAAATAATCTTAAAAGAATGAAATCAGTGACGTGACGTGATCCCTCTGACATTAAAAACGAAAGCGATAATTAACTTCATGGCTGTGATATGATATGTTTATCTGCTTTACAACACTGATATAAACCCGGTGCAACAGCTGTTGCCTGCCGATAATTATTTGTATTTATTAAAATAAAATGGCATTGTCTCGCGCAAATCCCGACCAGCTGCCCAAAGATGCCGTTATAATCTCCGAAGATCAAGCTTTGAAGTACCAATGGAAGATAATCACAGCCTGGGAGAAAACTGGAGAGGTGTACGTGTAAAAAACGTGTAAATTTGTAGATCACCGCTTACCTAATAACTGAACAAACCCCTTCTTTACAGATGGTCCCTGCGCTATACGCCCGGGATTCTGAGTGCTATGGCTGCTGCAACTGGCGCCTATATTAACAATCACTACCGCACCAAACTGCGGCTCGGCAGCCATGGTCGGCTGTCCAGTTATATGCCAATTGTGGTCGTACCCGCCATATTCACCATGCTCACACACAAGTTCTTCGTACAGCGTCCCATACTGCTGGACCCGCTGGGCGAGTGTCCGCTTTGCAGACAAGTACGAGGGGCAGCGTTCCAAACTAGCCTTGGGATCGTGTACCCCACGATACTGGCGCCCTTCGCAGCATTTATGTTTGCCACCCGCTGTTACACATACCGGTTACCATCGATTACGGAGAGCCCCAAGCAAGTGTTCATGCTGTGGCGACAGTTTACGCGCCCCATAGTACCCACCCTGGCTACCATTATAGCCTTCCAAGCTTTCCTGGCCATGTACTTGACATACAAGCAGGAAAAGCAGAATTTCAGCGTGATGCTGCGCATGAAGGAGATCGAGTATCAGCTGGAACAGGAGCATATGCCACAGCGGATCGAATTTTAAGTGTTTTGTTTTGTTAAATGATATTAAACATTTTTATCCATCCAACTGCATTTTTCAATTGAACTGAATTATCGATAGACGATAGGCGTCGCAAAAGGTATCGGGACGTCACACACGTTGCTGCAGTCGGCTGACGAAATTTGTTTGAATTTGCATTTATTGTGGAAAACGTGAGTAATACATACAATTTTTTTATTTGCTGGGCTGCTCCGCAATGGAAAATCAAACAACTGCTTGATATTCTGCTGTTAAATAGCCTAATAGTTGTGTAATTTCATCACGTAGAGCAGTGGAGACTTTCACTGCCATGGCTTTTGGCCCTCTGTTGTGGTTAGGGGAGTGCTGCCGCTCACAAAGCCAGAGCCAATTGTCGCGTGGCAATAATTTTTTTTTTTGCATTTACCAACCTTGAGCTCCTGTCGTTGCAGCAGCACCCAACGAAATGAAGTACTTGACCGCCAAGGAGGTGCGCGACGCCTATCTGGGCTTCTTCAAGGAGCAGAAGCACATTTATGTCCATTCATCCAGCACCATACCGCTGGACGATCCAACGCTGCTGTTCGCCAACGCTGGCATGAACCAGTACAAGCCCATCTTCCTGGGCACCGCCGATCCCAACAGCGAGATGTCGAAGTGGGTGCGTGTGTGCAACACACAGAAGTGCATCCGTGCCGGTGGCAAACACAACGATCTGGATGATGTCGGCAAGGATGTCTACCATCACACATTCTTTGAGATGCTGGGAAATTGGTCATTCGGCGACTACTTCAAGAAGGAGATCTGCACCTGGGCCTGGGAGTTCCTAACGAATCGCCTAAATCTGCCCAAGGATCGTCTGTATGTTACGTACTTTGGCGGCGACGAGGCCAGCGGCCTGGAACCCGATTTGGAGTGCAAGCAGCTGTGGCTGGATTTGGGCCTGAAGCCGGAGCACATTTTGCCGGGCAGCATGAAGGACAATTTCTGGGAAATGGGCGAGACCGGACCCTGCGGGCCCTGCTCTGAGCTGCACTTTGATCGCATCGGTGGACGCAGCGTACCGGAGCTGGTCAACATGGACGATCCCGATGTCCTGGAGATTTGGAATCTTGTGTTCATCCAATACAACCGCGAGTCCGATGGCAGCCTAAAGCAGTTGCCCAAGAGGCACATTGACTGCGGCATGGGATTCGAGCGCCTGGTCTCGGTCATCCAGAACAAGCGTTCCAACTACGACACGGATCTATTTGTGCCACTCTTCGACGCCATTCAGGCGGGCACTGGTGCTCCAGTTTACCAGGGCCGCGTGGGTGCCGATGACGTCGATGGCATTGATATGGCCTATCGCGTCCTGGCCGATCATGCCCGCACCATCACCATTGCCCTGGCTGATGGCGGCACTCCAGATAACACTGGTCGTGGCTATGTGCTACGTCGCATTCTCAGACGTGCTGTTCGGTGAGCAAAGAAATTGCGGAGAGACGTAGAACCTTCAAGAACTTTTCTTTTCCTACAGTTATGCCACTGAGAAACTGAATGCCAAGCCGGGTTTCTTTGGCACGCTGGTACACACCGTTGTCGATCTGCTGGGCGATGCCTTCCCAGAGGTAAAGCGAGACCCACAACACATCATTGAAATCATCAATGAGGAGGAGCTGCAGTTCCTCAAAACGTTGACGCGTGGCCGCAATCTACTTAATCGCACCATTGAGAAGTTGGGCAGTCAGACCATCATACCCGGAGACGTTGCGTGGCGCCTGTACGACACGTACGGCTTTCCCGTGGATCTCACCCAACTGATGGCTGAGGAGAAGTCGCTGGAAATCGACATGGCCGGCTATGAGGCGGCCAAACAAAACTCATTTGTGCTCTCGCAGGGCAAAGGTGCCAGCAAAATTGAGGAAATCAATCTGGATGTGCATGCCATCTCACAGTTGCAGGAGCAGGGCGTGCCACCAACCAACGATTCATTCAAGTATAAATACGAGGCTGTGTCGGAGGAGCGGGACTCTGCCTACAACTATCAGGAATGCACAAGTAAAGTCGTGGCCCTTCGATTCGAGAATCAGTTCGTGAACGAGATTAGCAATGGCCAGAAGGCGGGCATTGTGCTGGACAAGACGAACTTCTATGCGGAGAGCGGTGGCCAGATCTTCGATCAGGGTGCACTTGTCAAGCTGAACGACGAGGCTAATGAGTTCCTGGTCGATCGTGTCTACAATCGTGGCGGCTACATCCTGCACATTGGCGTTGTCGAGGGCACCCTGAAAGTCGGCGATGAACTGAGGCTGCACATTGATGAGGAGCGACGTTGGCTCACCATGAAGAACCATTCGGCTACGCATGCCCTCAACCACTGCCTGCTGCAAGTCCTCGGCATGGATACCGAACAGAAAGGCTCGCTAGTTGTGCCAGAGAAGCTGCGCTTCGATTTTAACACCAAGGCCGCCATGACCATCGAACAGGTGGCCAAGACGGAGCAGCTAACGAAGGACATGGTCTACAAGAATGTCCCCATCTACGCCAAGGAGTCAAAGCTGGCTATGGCCAAGCGTATACGAGGTCTGCGTTCGGTCTTCGACGAGGTCTACCCCGATCCAGTGCGCGTCATTTCGTTTGGCGTGCCTGTGGAAGAGCTTGAGCAGAATCCCAATGCCGAGGCCGGAGAGAAGACCTCGGTTGAGTTCTGTGGCGGTACTCATCTGCGACGTTCGGGACACATTATGGACTTCGTCATCAGCAGCGAGGAGGCCATAGCCAAGGGTATTCGTCGCATTGTCGCCCTGACGGGACCGGAAGCCCTGAAGGCCATCAAGAAATCGGAGGCCTTTGAGCAAGAGATTGTCAAGTTGAAGGCCACTATAGATGCGGATAAATCGGGCAAGGACTCCAAATCACATGTCAAGGAGATTGTCGAGCTCACCGAACAGATATCCCACGCCACGGTTCCCTATGTGAAAAAGGACGAGATGCGCAACTTGTTGAAGGGTCTGAAGAAGACGCTGGACGACAAGGAGCGCTCCCTGCGGGCAGCCGTCTCTGTGAATGTGGTTGAGCGAGCCAAGGAGCTGTGCGAGGCCAATACCGGCGCCAATGTGATCGTCCAACAACTGGAGGCTTTCAACAACACCAAGGCACTCGATGCTGCGCTCAAGCAGGTGCGGACCCAGCTGCCCGATGCTGCTGCCATGTTCTTCTCCGTTGATGCTGATTCCAAGAAGATATTCTGCCTGAGCTCGGTGCCCAAGAGTGCTGTGGAGAAAGGTCTGAGGGCTAATGAATGGGTTCAGCATGTCTCCCCGATTCTGGGTGGCAAGGGTGGCGGTAAGCCAGAGTCTGCTCAAGCCTCGGGCAGCAATTACGAGGGCATCGAGGAGATTCTTCAGCTGGCCAAAAAGTTTGCAGAGTCCAAGTTGGCCTAAGCGCTCACAGATATACACAGCAAGTCCTATAATTACTCAGAAATTTGATACACTTTTTGCATACTGCTTTGATCTGTTCCAAACAGCATATCAAAAGAATTGTATCGCTTATTTATAAAACAAAAGCATTTATATGCACTTACTATAAGACATGGACTTTATTTTTATTTTATTAAGTTTTAAACTTGATTTTTCTTTAGTATCCAATCGACTGCTTCGGCGAAATTCTCCACCAGAGCTGTGGGTGGCGGCGACAGAGCGACGTCCGGCAGATATTTACCAGTCTTCACGAGTATGCCCTGTAGGCCCATGGCCATTGCACCGCCAATATCATCATTGGCATCCTACAAACAGAATTTAAAGCCAATCTTCTTGACGTTGGGGTTGGTCTTTGCCTACATCACCTATCATGACGCAAAAGGATGGATCCTGGCCATCCAAAGCCCCCTTGAAGAAGTATGGGTTCGGTTTGCCAATCAGCTTGGCCGTACATCCTGTGGCATACTCCAGACCCTTGACGAAGCAACCGGGACCCAGGGCCAGGCCATCTGATCGCTTGTAGTATTTACCCTGATGTATGGCCACCAGTTTGTGCTCCTTATTCTGCAACAGCACACTGTGGCAGAGAGGCAGAGCCAAATTAATGCACCAACCCAGAAGCTCAAGCCTCGGAGACTATTCCTACTTGAAAGCCTTGTTCATTTGCTCATAGTTGAATGCTTTGGGTGCCAGGCCAACAACCACCGAGTCGGGGCATCGATTCGGATCCTCAGGCGGAAAGTCCTGGCGTGCATCCTCCGACAAGAGGTAGTATGGGTTTAGTTTTCCACTTTGCACAAAGGTGACAGCGGCGCTCAGGGAGCTGTAGATCTCCGAGCGGTCCAAGTGGAAGCCAATCCTGCAGAGACGTTCGTGCAACGTCCCCTTTGAGTCCTTGGTGGTATTTGTGACAAATCTAACTGACACTCCAGAATCACGCAATCTGTATATCGCATACCATAAATTAAATTATTAAATGGGTATGTTTGGAAAGGATTACCTGGCTAATGCCTCAACAGCATTGGGTGTGGGATCATCCTCCACGTGTAGGGTGCCACTGAGATCTATCAGCGCAGCTTTAATAGACATTCTTCTTAGTTTTCCTGATATTACAGACCCACGTCCGCTTAAAAACATTCGAAAACACTAATACCAATAACAACTTTCCGACAAGCCATTGTTACTTTTGACATTTAGGTATCGATATTATTCTTTTCATCAGCTGTTCATCTTCACTGGTAATCCAGTGTTGTAAATAAGTCATATATATATATATATATATATATAGTTTCTTCACGGTCACGACTATCGAAAATTGAAAACGCATGGATACGATAGCCCTAAACAGCTGTTTCTTAAAATGCAAAACTGACGCAACGCCAACGAGTAGAGGTGAAAAATATCGATTTTGTATGCATCGAAGTGTTTCAAAAATATTATTATTTAAGCTTCAATAATAGATTTCACTACAGTTCACTTCACTTAACTAAGCAGCAAGGAGAAATTGAGCTTCTTCTGCTTATCTCTTTAGTTTTTTCTTTCAAACATGGAAGATGCAAAATGAATAAACAAACATCGATGTTTCGCCAGAAAACATCGGCCAGAACAACTATTGATGCTTCGATAGTGACATCGATGTTTTTCCACCTCTACCAGCGAGTCTGTGGAGACAGAAAATTTATGAAAAATAGACACAATGCAAAGTAAATGACGTGATTAAACTATAAATGTAGATTGTTTAGTGCCCGTGAGCCGTAAAGTGTTAAACATCGTGGAAGAGTGTGCGTGGAATGGTGAAGGAGTTAATTGCTGAAATTCGCATCGGCGAGTCACAAATAATAGCGGCCCCAGCAGCAGCAGCAGCGAGTAGTGAACTAGCCAACGCCGACGAGTCTCTGGCCAATGTGGTGCAGCACCCCGCTTCCCGTGAGCACCCCCTCCTCCACCCGCTAACGCGCAAATATATGCGACGACAACTAGTTGTAGTGGGCAGCCTTTGTGGAAGCAGCAGGCGAAAAATTGTGCGAACGCCAAACAAGGGAAGCGCATAAAAGTTAATTAGCAGTGCAAGCGAAGCTGCGTTGTGTGTTCAGGCACCCATCCAATCCAAGGCACATCACAGCCTTTGCGGTAGTGATGCAGCAGCAGCTGCGACAACTATCGAGATTCTAGTTATTGTTGTTGTGGTTTTTGCACCCACCACACGTAACTAGAGCACACAGACACACACAACACATACACAGACACAACACACAAACAGAATAACTCTGTTTAGAGGGTATCATCCACTCCAAACTGCTGCTCATCCGCGTCCATTCATTCACACACACATACAACACACACACACACACATCCATAGGCAGTAGATGCAGCAGCAAAAACATTGGAAATGATTTGTAAACAAGACGTCCTGCTGTGGTTTGAGAAACTCGAGAGCTACAATCGCATTGAAACGATGTACGCGCTGCTCACCGCCTGCCTGCCGTTCGAGCTACGCTTCCTGGGCACGTTGCTTGAGGAACAAGGGAGATGCGATTCGGAGACCCTACGCGGAATGGAGCTTCGGGCCAACAATCCCCAGGAGCTGGCCGCCGACATGTTCACCTGCCAGAAGGGCGATCCAACCGACAGGAAGATTCGCCGCAAAATGGCCCTCTACCTGGCCCTCATCCGTGCCTGCAACCGGAACTGTGTGAGCGAGATCTATCGCACGCTCGAGTGCTGGGGAGAGTGTGACTTTGGGTGCATCAATGACCAGGACACGCTTCTAGAGCTTTTGCTCGTCTACACAATGGCCGCCATTCATCCAGTCTTCTCTATGGACGAGCAGAAGAAGATCTTTGGGATACTGGGCAAGATTAAGGAGAACAAACTTGTGTCGGAAAACTTTCCTCAAGCACAAATGGAACAGCCACCGACACCGGCCCATCCCCATCCACCGCACCCGCACGCGCCGTCCCAGCATGATTTAATAATGCAACAACAACAACAGCAGCAGCATGTGATGCATCAAATACAGGCCCAGCAGCAGGCACATCAGCACCAGCAGCAGCATCCACAGATGGTCCAGGTAGTGCAGACGCCGCAGGGCAATATACCAATGATATTCCCCCAACATTTTCAAAAGGTAAGCGTTAAGACCTTAAAAGAAGAGTAGAAAATTCGAACTAAATTGTACTCTTAAAATCCGAGTCTTATATAAGAGTTACACACGGAGGAATGAGGTACATTCTGGTATTCAATTCTTATTGGTCTTCTAGACCCACGGAAAGTGCATTGATGCATGCAGTTTCGATCAAAATAAAACTGGAGACACTTTTCACAAAAGTTTTACAAAATGTAAGAGTGTCCCTAGCAAACCACAAGAAAGTCCCCATAAGATATATTTTAGTGCATTTTTTTTACATTTGCTAAATCGTCCTCTCTCTCTATCTCTATGATAGCTTGTGTCTGGGACGGATGCAACACACCAGATAAGCGTCGATGGCGTGCCACACATGATGCAATCGAATATCACCATTCCAGCGGACACAAGTGCCATACTCGGCCACCAGAACACGGCGTGGTCGTTGCGGCACTACGCACCACCGCCACATCCACAGACTGCTGCTCCACAGCAGCAGCAGAACCTGGATCATCATGTGCCTCCAGCCTCCAGTTCGCCGATGCTGAGCCAGCAGTCCTCTCCGTCAAGCAGCCGCACGACGAGTCCTCAGCGCTCCAACGTTCCACTGCAATCGCAGCAGATGCGCAACCTGTCGCAACGTTTGACCGGTCACAAGCATCATGCGGCGCGGCGTCCCTCAGGGGAAACCACGCCGCCTCCCTCTTCCATTAGCGGGGAGCTGCAGCACGAGAGCATCAACGAAGGCGGCAGCAGTAGTTCCAGTGGCACGAGTCTGCCCAGCCTAATACGCAACGGTTTCCAGCGGCCCGCACATCATCATCGAGTCAAGGCAAACGCCTACATACCGCCCCATCAACAGCAGCAACAACAGCAGCAACAACAGCAGCAGCAGCACTTTCAGAACAACGCTTACATGAACAGCCTGATGCAGAATATGAGCATGAATGACGATGGGAGTGGCTCCATGACCAAGAGTGTTGCCACCACTGGAAGCGAATCGGGCAGCTCAAATGGCTCTTGCGGGGACATATCCCCGCCTGAGACACCAACGCCGCATCCACTGCCATTACACAGCACAGTCGGCAATCCCGGCATGGGTATGGTCACGACTGTCGTGCACAGCGGCATGGGAGGAGGCTACCAGCAGAAGCACCATCTTACCTACAAGCAGCAGCAGCAGCAAATGAGTCTGCAGCAGCGACTGAACGGACGCAATGGGATGGAGAAGAGCTACCAGCAGATCTACACAACAGGTACACCAAGCAATGTGAGCGATGCCCAGACGATGAGCAGCGGGAACATGCAGCAGCAACAGGCGTTGCTTATCAGCCCGTCTTCGGTGAGCACTCCCACGACTACGGTCTTGCTGCAGCAACAGCCACAGCAGCAGCAGCCCCCACCACCCACAGCCTACAATGCAGCCTCCTATCCATATCATACACGAGGACCCCCGCCGCAGCAGACGATATTCCAGGCGCATAATGCACCGCCGCCGCCGCAATCTGTTCGAGGCGGCTACCGGTTTCCCATGGCTCCCGTTTCCCACAACGGTGAGCTCATCTATCCGGCGTTCCACACGAGCCTTGCCTTCCTGCCGGTACCCGGCACTGGTGGCACACCCACAGCCGTCACGCCGCCCCAACTGCAAAACACTGCCGCTGTGGTCAGCACGAATGCTGTGGCGGTCCAGACGCCTGCTCCCCAGCAGCAGCAACTGCCGACCACGCCGCCCTACAGTGCGCTGACCGTTTGCCCCATCACAGGGGTGGGCGGGGGCGGAGCACCGAAGATATCCTGCTACAATTGCGGCTCACAGACGCACATTGGACGGGACTGTCAGGAGGCGTCTATGGAGGATGTGACGCGCAGTGCCAGCTACAAGCTGGACTACTCAGAGCCTCAGAGTATAGAGGCCAACTCCATTGGTGATCACAGCAACAAGGATATGGGTAGCATTCAAATGAATATGAATTCGTCGGTGACAGCGCCGACGGCGTCAACGGTGCTGTCTGCGGCGTCGGCGGCGGTAACGACCATCGGGAAATAGCAAGGTATGGGTAAATCCAGAGTAAGCTTAAAGTCCATATACACGGACCTATATGGAGGAGCATAATTACGTCTATATTAATGTTTAAACATAATCCTTATCTACTTATACTGAAAATACCATTTATTATGATTGTGTAGTAGTGCGGAAATCAAATTTCTCGCCCTTACCACGTCTCCTAGTTTTTTATAAGAGCCTCTCAATTCGCGTTATGGAGAATCGGAATAGGAATACGGGTTATGAATAGTCGCGCTGCCTAAACACTTGACAAACCCTTATCCATTCCCCTGCCCCCCTCCACACATAAACGAATAATTTAAACGCGCTCCACCCCGCACATCCCATTACCCTTTCCTCCCACCCCACACAAACACACACAGATAGACGATAACGAATTTTAGTCATATGCCACTTTGAATATTTCTAATATTAAGTTGAATGTACAACAGCAATAAGTAAACAAAATAATCCTAATCTACGTTGTGCGGTTCGCATTGCCGCATTAAGGAAGGATCGGATCATTCGGTAAACTCAAACCACAGGCGAATGTTACCATTTATCATGATATCTAAATAAGTTAGAGACACACACATGTATCGTATATCGGAAGCAGCCATGCGATTGCCGCAATGAAACGTAACGTAGCACACTCTGACGTTCCGCAAACGAAAGCGAGTTAGCGCGAGTCTGGTATCGGAAAGCTGTAACGTGACAATGGCATACAGTAAAAACAACTGTAAGAGAAGAAGAGGAAATAGATACGAGATACCGGTAAACAAATAAGAAATTTCGTAGCATACAAAATACTTAGCAAATATAACAAAAAAAATCATTATGTGTATAAAACAAAACAAATCAGCGTAGCAGCACAATGTGCTTAGTTAACGTTTTTCGTATTCCAAACCTAATGCCACCCCACCACCTCTTACATTTTAAAATTGTAGTTATCCTATTTATTTTAAAGCTGTTTAAAAATGATTTT